CTCCGAACTGCAATTTTCTGCAGTGAGCTGATTCGAGCTCGCCGGCTGCGGTGGCCAAAGCAGCGGCCGCGGGGGTGGTGGCTGCAGGCGGCATTCGGCGCGGCTGTCGCGCGAAGCGGGCTGGCAGATGGTCGGCGGCGGCAAACGCTCGGGTCTTGCGTTGTGGTCGGAGGTGAGCTCGAAGCGCGATCTTGCTCGTGTGCGACAAGGAGGAGTGGTCTGCAGCGAGGGGTCGTCTGTCGGGGTGGTGGTTCGTCGGGAAGAAGACAAGAGAGATGAGAGGAGAGGAGCGGTCCTGTGAGCTGGGCGGGGTACGTGGCGGGGCGGCCAGCTGGGCCTCGGCGGCGTTCGTCGGAGATGGGCAGGGAGTCTGAGCTCGAGTCAGAGCTCGAGGGGGCGAACTGGCGTACGGTGGCTCGGTGGCGGGCGCCTGCTGGGCGGAGCACGAGGGTGGAGGCGGTGCTGAAGCGTGTTGCGGTCTCACGGAGCTCGCGTGGCGAAGTTTTGGAAACGGGGGCCCAAGGTGCTGATGGCTGCTGGCTGCTGTCGAGCGGTGAGCAGCGCGGGCTGGACGGTGGAGCGGTTCGGCGAGCTGGCGGGTCTTGCGGGGGGGCGGGGGGGGGTGGGCCTTGATGAGGCGAGTTGGGACGGCGACGTGGTGCGGTTCGTCGGTCCGGAGGTTCAGCGCGCCTGTTGCGCCGGCAGAACAGGCTGCGTTGATGAATGAGAAGAAAAATTGAAGGAGAGAGCAGAGAGCGGAGGGTGTTGCTTCGTTGGTTTCTTGGGGAATGGGAGATGAGAGAGAAATGAGCTGGAGAGTTGTAGTGGGAGTGGGTTTCTTGGGTTTTAAAAGAGGAGAGAGAGTGAAGAAAATATAATAAAGAAGAGAGTGAGTGATTGAGTGATTGGGTGAGAGATTTTATTGGATTAAAATAAAGAGAGAGAATAAAATTGAGGGAGAGTGTCAGAGAGAGATAGATTGAGAGAGATTGGAGAGAGAGTAAAAACGGTGGAGAATTTAATGAGGGAGAGAGCGCGGGATAGGGTGGTTGGGAGGACGGGAGTTGAGAGCTGGGGGAAAACACGAGGCGGAGGGGTATATAGAGTGAACACCGGTGAGAGGAAAAACACAGGGAAAAATACCCCTTTAAATAATTTAAAAATATCATAAAATTTATTTAAAATAATTATTAAAATTTATGGTCAAAATACAAATACTCTTTTAGAAAAATAATATTTAATATTTAAATACCAAAAAATTATTTAAACCCGTATTAAAAATTTACGGTCATTACAACTGGGTCGGTGCACACCAGAGTACTGGACTGCTGTTCCTGGAAGCAATTTGGCCTTGGGATCCTTGCACCGGAGTATGCCAAATAATGCTTTAAGCACAGCGTTCTACAAACGCACAACAGCTGAGTTAGAAAATTTTAAATTACTATACTTCAGCTTTCTTTTAGTTATTTACTGCTTTATATCTGCATTATTCTAGATTTAACCACAGGCGCCAACAATCTTAAAGCATTATTTTGATCTACCATGGATCCTGCACGGACTCTTAGAGTGGATTGTCTTAAGTTAGAGAACTTTGATGGTTCCAACTTCAACGCATGGCGTCGGAAAGTGATCTTCGGGATGCAATTCTTGAAAATCTACTATGTGGTCTCTGAGGAGAAACCCGACTCTGAAGAAGATTCTGAATCTGAAGCCTCTTGGGCTAAAGATGATCACTTTTGCAGGAGTTATCTCCTTAACTGCCTAGCCGATCATCTAGCAGATGCTTACACCAACAAGACATCTGCGAAGAAAATTTGGAATGCTCTTGAGGACCAGTACATGGATGAGGAGAAGCTGTCTAAATCTCACCTCATCGACAAGTTTCTAGACCTCAAGTTCGAAGATGACACTGAGATTTTGCCGCAAGTCAAAGAGCTTGAAAAGCTTGTTATGAAGCTAAAAGATGAAAATATCAGTCTTTATCAAACCTTCATTTCTGGTGCGATTGTCAACAAGCTTCCTCCATCTTGGATGTCATTCTCCACTGACATTCGAAGAAGGAAAAGACAGGTGACTCTGTCTGATTTGAAAAGATTCATTCGGATCGAGGACGAGACTCGGACTTGCACGAAGAATGAGCTCATCGCTAAGCAGAAGACGTCTGCTAACATGGTGGCTGCTAACTCTGAAAAGGGTAATAATTCATCTTTCAACAAGAAGAAGAAGTTCTTTAACAAAAGGAAGAACCAGAATCCAAAGTACCTGAACGTTCAGAAGAAGGAGTTCAAGAAGAGTGGCAAATGCTTCAATTATGGGAAGCAAAGATATTTTATCAAGGACTGCAAAGCACCAAAGAAAAAAACTACGCACAATGTCAATCAAATTGATGATTGTGTGGCTATGCTCTTCCAGGTAACAACTCCTAACAACATCTCTGGTTGGTGGTTAGATACAGGTGCTACTTGTCATGTCTGCTCCAACAGAGATCTATTCTCTTCTTATGTTGTTGCCAAAGAGAACGTATCAATGGCTGATCATTCTGTGGTTCCTATTCTTAGAACTGGGACTGTGGTGCTGACTCTCTCTTCAGGAAAGACTCTCACATTGAAGGATGTGAAACATGTTCCCTCAATTGTCAAAAACTTAGTCTCTGGAAGCCTGCTATGTGATGCAGGTATGAGACTGGATTTTCAAGGAGGTAAGACTGTATTATCCTTTAAGAAAATGTATTTTGACAATGCATATCGTACCGATGGCATATATAAGATCAGTACTATTACACCCAACTTGGTTATAAATGAAGTATCATCTTCTGCTTACTCCCCTGTATTATGGCATAATAGGCTAAGACATGTAAATTATAGAAAATTGTCTAGCATGGAGAAGTTAGGATTACTTCCAAAATGTGGGGGTAACAAACCTGAGGAATGTGAAGTTTGTGCGCAAGCAAAGCTAACGAGGAAGCCATTTCAAGTGTCACGAGGAGCACCAACCTGTTGGATCTGATTCATTCACATACTTGTGACTTCAAAAACTTCATCACTCGTGGCGGCAAGAAGTACTTCATCACCTTCATCGACAACCATTCTCGCTTCTGTCACGTTTACCTGCTGAAATCTAAAGATGAAGCCTTTAGCAAATTTGTCGAGTTTCGGACTCGAGTGGAGAAGAAGCTTGGACTGCAGGTGAAAAGACTCAGGAGCGACAGAGGAGGAGAATATCGATCTAAGGAATCAGAAGCATACTTCAAGGAGCATGGAATTATTGCAGAAACTACTGCTCCGTACTCTCCGCAATCTAATAGGATTGCAGAAAGGAAGAATCGCACATTGACCGAGATGGTGAATTCGATGCTAATCACATCTGGTTTACCTACCTGCTATTGGGGAGAGGCTTTGCAGATGGCAAACTGGATTCTAAACAGAGTATCCTACTCCAAAACTGATAGTACTCCTCATCAGTTATTGTTAGGATATCCAGACCCTTTGGATAATCTCAAAGTATGGGGGTGTCTCGCATATGTTCGAATTCCAGATATCAGAAGGCCTAAGCTAGGACCAAAGGCAAACAGATGTGTGTTTCTTGGCTTTGCTGGAGATAGCAATGCGTGCAGGTTCCTAGACCTTGGAACCAACTCCATCATTGAAGCTCGGGATGCAGAATTTTTTGAGGATAAGTTTATCAAACATAAAGGCTTATTGTTCAAAGATGTAGCAGATAATGCTAATACGTCAGATGCACCAGAGGAGCTAGTTTCGCAAGAAACTGAAAATATCAATGATGAAGGAGTTATCAAACCATCATTCAAGTGTGTCAGGAGACAGAAAGATTTTGGAGATGACTTCATCACCTATAATGTGGAAGGAGACCCACAGACTTTCCAATAAGCAATGTAGTCAACAGACGAACTTCTGTGGAAAGAATCTATAGAGGATGAGATGGATTCATTGATCCAAAATTATACTTGGGAGCTGGTGAATATACCTGAAGGTGAAAGGCCTATCAGTTGCAAATGGATCTTCAAGAAGAAGCTTCGTCCTGATGGTACTATTGAAAAGTACAAAGCAAGACTAGTGGCGAAAGGATTCTCTCAGAAAGAAGGTATAGACTTCTTTGATATCTATGCACCAGTTTGCAGGATCACTACCATCAGAGTACTTATCGCATGAGCGGCGATTAAAAGGTTCGTCATACATCAGATGGATGTGAAGACTGCCTTTCTCAAGGGAGATCTCACAGAAGAGATATACATGGAGAAACCAGAAAGACTTGATGCTCCAGCTGGTAAGGTTTGTAAACTTGTTAAGTCTTTATATAGACTTAAGCATGCACCAAAACTATGGCATGAGAAGTTCGATGGGGTTGTTCGCAACAATGGGTATCAAGTCAGTGAATCTGACAAGTGCCTATACATCAAAGTTGCTGAAGGAGAGGTGATGATCATCTGCCTCTATGTGGATGATATGATCATCATCGGGAGTGATTTGGAGATAATAATATCTACCAAGAAATTTCTTTCAGCACAGTTCAGCATGAAGGACCTTGGAACTACGGACGTGATTCTCGGAATCAAAATTATATACTCTAAAGAGGGTATTGGATTGTCTCAATCTCATTATATCGAGAGCATGCTAAGAAAGTATGGCTACAACAACTTGTCAGAACTATCAGTGCCATACGATTACAACAAGAAGCTTCGACCAAACGCTGGAAGACCAGTAGAGCAGCTGAGGTACTCAAAGATCATTGAGAGTCTCATGTACGTGATGAGCTGCACAAGGCCAGACATTGCATTCGCTGTAGGAATGCTTAGTAGGTTCACAAGTAATCCTGGAAAGCTTCATTGGGATGCTGTCTAGAAATTGATGAGATACTTGAAAGGAACTACAGGTCTGGGCTTATTCTACACTGGATATCCGGGTGTAATCGAAGGCTATTCAGATGCGAGTTGGTGCTCAGAACCAGATGAGTACAGATCTACTGGAGGATTTGTCTTCACCATGGGTGGAGCTACCGTCTGGTGCTCAGAACCAGATGAGTACAGATCTACTGGAGGATTTGTCTTCACCATGGGTGGAGCTACCGTCTCGTGGAAGTTTAAGAAGCAAACCATGATTGCACAGTCATCGATGGAATCTGAGTTCTTCACACTCTGTGCTACAGGAGATGAAGCTGAATAGCTCAGTTGTTTTCTCCGAGACCTTCCATTAACAGAATTACAAGGCACAATTACTATCTATTGTGATAATCAAGCGGCGAGTGCTGTGACAGCGAACTCAATGTTCAATGGAAAGAAGCGAACCATTCGTCTGAAGCATGGCTATTTGAGAGAGATCATTTGTCAAGGAGTCATCTCTGTGATTGACGTCCGGTCTTCAGAGAATGTTGCTGATCCTTTGACTAAAGGTCTAAAAAAGGACATAGTCGAAAGGATGTCTGCTGGAATGGGTCTTAAAGTTTTGTAAGTCTTACAAATACTTACCATGTTTATTAAATTATTAGTTCAAAGATTATGCTACTAATAATAAGATAATTGGTTCAAAAGTCAAGTAAGATTTGTAAAAGTTAGTAGTCTTACAAATACTTACAATTTACTTCAAGTTATTAGTTCAAAGCTTATGCTACTAATAACAAGATAAATGGTTCAAAAGTCAAGTAAGATTTACAAAGGGAGGGTTCAAGTTTTCTTGGGTTAGTCGGTGTCTAAGGCAAGGTTTGGGGGTTGCATAACGCGCTCCGCAAGGAACGGGGTACTTAATTGATCTTTGATCAACCTCTAATACTAACCTTACCTGGCTGAACTACCCGAGTAAAACTTTGATCTTTTCACCTAGAATCCTATCATGAGAGAGGATGGCTCTTAAGCCTTAATGAGTTCAAAGCATTTCAGATACGGGATGTTTGATAGGAAACATGCTTAAAGAACTCACCTATGAATGGGTGGAGATTTGGCCGTCTCCTATGGTGTCTTGTGGAAAGATACCTAGAGCCCTAGTAGAAATCAGGACATGCACATGGCCATAAATGTGCAAAGACAAAGGCAAGGCAAAGGCATAGACAAAGGCAAGTGTGGTTCAAAGTGAAAATTACCACAGATAAGTTTGATCTTGTGTGATCGCTGGATTTTTAGACAAGTGCTGGTTCAAGTCTCTACGACACCATGCATCTATCTTTTATTCAGTTGGTCTAAAGGGGATTCAAGTCCTTGCGACATCTTCCTTATGCACAACGATTGAAACAACGGCACCGTTACACAGCACTAGTTTAAAAAATTTGTGGGGGATTGTTGGATTATAAAATAATTTTTTAACCTTAAGAAAAATGTGCATGCAGCCATTTTTGAAAAGAAACACAAGATGACAAACTTGCCAAAATTTTGTTGAAAAAAAGAAAAAGTGGTGGGCCCCACCACAAGAAAAATTTGGGCGTGGGTCTCACATGAATAATAAATAATATTATTTTATTAGTGCATAGTGTTTCCCCAAACGCTATAAATAGACCACAAATCCTTAAGGAAAATTCATTCCAAAAACAACAATCAATATATATAGATATATATGTTGTAGAATAGCTAGTGCTCGTAGGAACAGTGCCTAGACCGAGAAGGTCTGATTGATCGAGGAGATCTTTTGCCTGATAGATCGAGGAGATCTTTGCCTGATAGATCGAGGAGATCTTTTGCCTGATAGATCGAGGAGATCTTTGCCTTATAGATCGAGGAGATTTTGACAGTACTGGGTCGGTGCACACCAGAGTACTGGACTGCTGTTCCTGGAAGCAATTTGGCCTTAGGATCCTTGCACCGGAGTAGGCCAAATAATGCTTTAAGCACAGCGTTCTACAAACGCACACCAGCTGAGTTAGAAAATTTTAAATTACTGTACTTCAGCTTTTTTTCAGTTATTTGCTGCTTTATATCTGTATTAATCCAGATTTAACCACATGCGCCAACAAACCTAAGGTATATTTTTTTTTTTCATCATCAGTAAATACCAGTAATATCTGCTAGTTAGAGCCAGAATGGGTTAGGATATATCTCCTCCTTCCATGAAATGCAGAATATATCACCTCCATACATAACCATAAACACTAGATATCACATGCTACATCCTATTCCAAACCTAACTGCCAAGGGTGCATAACGACTAAATAAACACATGCAAGGGTAAATAAAGATAAATGCTAAATTTCCAAGCAAGGGACTAAAAAGTCACTATATAATTTTACTAAAAATAATTGTATGCTTGAGTGCAGAAACACCAAGAACAGAATCAAGTGCAATACTTGATTTTCTTCATTTTACCAAGTACTCATGACAGTCATATTTTGAACAAGAACAGGATGAAGTGCAATACTGAATATCAAAAAGAAAAGGTTTATAATGCTCATGGATTAATATAAGGGCCGAGGAATCTGTCACCCCAATAAAATTAAACAACGTTAGGAATTTATGATGGTGGTAGAGGGAGCTGGAGATATGAAAAAACTTGCTGATCAGAACCTATGATAAGGCAAAACTGAATTGACCAAGGAGTTAACAACACAAGGTACTGTACGGTTTGAAGATTGTAAATTATTAAGAATAAGGATTAGAGAAAATTCAAGCTTAAATTTTATGATAGAATATTCGAGGAAAAATAAACATCCCTTTCTATGACAAGCGAGGAAAAATAAAACAAAAAACATGGTTTTGTTTTTTCCCCAGCAAATGATATTAAGTAAAACTGCACACAGAGAATTTGAAATGTTAAAAAGGGACATATCTTAAACCAATCTCATTTTACAACTCTGGCTTACACTAGACGTAGCTTATAATCATCCTACCAAGACAATTGTGCCTTCCGAGGCCGGGAGGAGGAGGAGAGTTCGGAAAGTACTACAGTTTGCCTGCTCTCAATGACCCAAGAGTCGGTAAACTCTCTAATTTCTAATTAATCTCAATTACTTCATTTTTTCCAATCTTTGTGCTGCGCGCGCGTGCGCGTTTCGTGTGCGTGTGTTTAATTTTGCCTTGTGGGGGGTGGAGGGGGACAGGGTTTACGTCTCAATTAGGCTTTCGATTTTTACTAACCCTTGTCGAAAAGATGTATGATAAGTAGATTTGATGAATGTGCCTGTCGAAAAGATGTATGATAATTAGTAGAGGTATGCTTGCAGTTGTGCTAGCCTCCATTCATGCAGTGTGGGGCTGACCAATCAGAGACGGGGGCGTATGGAACTGCTTGCGGCGCGCACGCGCAGACACTGTTACCGGGTGTCAATTGGATGATCGCTTCTCTGCAAACCCTGGACATAGGACTGTTGAAGTTTCTCGATACTGCTGCGTTTCGGCTTATGTATTTGACACCTTCATTTCATACATGTGCATGTGTCGGACACATGCACGAGCACACCCTAATTTTTTCTGGGTTTCTCTTTATGTCATCTACATCAAGTGACAAATATCTTCTATTCTATGCTTTTGTGCTTCTTTTGAGCTTCTTTTTGAGAGAAAATAAGAAGTGCGTTAGAGTTTGGAAACTTTCCTATGTCTAATATGGTTGTTTACAACAATTTTTTTTAAAAAAAACCTATTTCTAGCGTCAGTGCCACATGGTTATCTGAAAGAAGTTTTTACCTTTTTTTTTGGGGGGGTGCAGACAAGCTACCGTATTCTATTAGGATTCTTCTTGAGTCAGCCATCCGGAACTTTGATAACTTCCAGGTCATAAAGAATGATGTCGAGAAGATTATTGACTGGGAGAATACCTCCCCAAAGCAAGTTGAGATTCCATTTAAGCCTACACATGTTCTTCTGCAGGTTTGTCACACAGAATACAGATGATACCCTCATTTTCTTCGCACTCTGCTTATTGACATTTTTTCTGTTGTTGGCAGGATTTTACTGGTGTGCCATCTGTTGTCGATCTGGCCTGTATGCGAGATGCTATGAACAAGCTAGGAAGTGATTCTAATAAGATCAATCCATTGGTAATGATATCTCTAACCTTCATGTTGGCTTGTTACTAGTTGCTTGGGTACAATGTTTCATTTACTTTAAATTCATGGTACAGATACCTCAGGGGGCTAAGTTTTAATTAACTCCAGTATGCTTAATTTGTACTCTTGGTATTCTTGCTTCACTGGAATGGTTGATTTTCTTATTATTGTAATGATTTTTCACAATCACGTACTGAAAATATCTAGCGGAAAATCCTTATTGCAACTATTCGAATTGTATATTGCTGCTTGATATTGAGTTTTGCTTTTATTTTTGTTGTTAAACTTCTGCTTTGGTTGCTGCTTCACTTCTTTTGCATTGTTCTTTTTTCTTGCAGGTTCCAGTAGATCTTGTGATTGACCACTCTGTGCAGGTAGATGTGGCAAGATCTGAAAATGCAGTTCAGGCAAACATGGAACTTGAGTTCCAGAGGAACAAGGAGCGATTTGGTTTCCTTAAATGGGGGTCTACTGCTTTCCACAATATGCTTTGCCGTTACTACATTCTTATATGTGTTGTTTGTCTGTAAGTAAATTGTCATCCTCTTTCATGAAAGTTAATGTACCTCTATTTCCTCTTGCTATAAAACAGCATTTATCAATTTTCATCTACAAAGGCAACTTCATTTACATGGCTCAATTTTAATGCTTCTTCTATATCAAGTGTCTGGAGGTTATATCTCTGGAGTGGCCTGCTTGTGTTACGATTTATGTCTTGCCATCAAGTCACCATCTTTCCAAGAAGTATGAACCAAAAAGAAATTACACTTAAAGAATGAAATTTCCAATTTCTTATTAATTTTACTAGCGCACACATTCTTATAACTGTGATTCTTGTTATGACTTTAAATGCCCTGTTGCCTGAGGCAACTAGTTCTTCTGTTTTGACGAAGAAACAAATTAAGTAATCATGTCATTATTTGTATTGCTTTAACCATTCATGTTGACCAAGGCCCTGCTATTGTTTGATCTAATTTCACAGCCTATGAGCATGGTTTTGCCTGGGGTTGTCGGGTTCAAGCTATCCGGAAAACTACGTGATGGGGTTACGGCAACGGGGCCGTTCACAAGTGCTGTTGGGAGGTAACGTTGTTGGTGGTGCGATTTATCTAAAACAACGCATATCACCGAGACTCGGAATGATCATCCACATTATTGCACCTCATCTGTATGTGGTGTGAAAGGGGACAGCCGCATCAACGGTGTAGTTTACCGTTTGTAATGTGAGGACATCTTTAGGTCTTCAAACCAACAGATAAGAATCATAAGTTACAGATATGTATGTGTCTCAGCAGCTGATTGAAGCTGCATCCAAAAGAGAGGAAAATAGAGACTGTGGAGAGAGGTGAGATTAGTGTTCGAGAGGTTATCTGTAACCCTAGTGAAATCATGACCTTATTATACTTTAAGTTCCCGTTTGGCAAAGGGTTAATGAAGAGGGGTTAAAGAGAAGGATTAATGTACTTAGCCCATTTGATAATCCTAAGGACTAAATTATTAACCCGTTAAATAAGTTTTATTTTAGCCCTTATGATCAGTTTTAGTGTTTGGGAATAACAATGATTTTGACTATTTTCTTTATAATTAGAATGGTTAACTCTTATTCCATCTAAATAGGAGTATTAGTAAACCCCTCATTTTGAGGGGTTAACTCATTTTAACCCCTCTAGAGGGGTTAACTTAACCCTTCTATATTTTTTATGTTTGGCAAATTATGGAGGGTTAACTCACTTTAACCCTTATATAGATTTGTTGTGTTTGGCAGGTTAAGAAGGGGTTAAGTCTCCTTACCCCTCACTTAACCCTTTATCAAACGGTACCTAAGTTAATTGCGTTGTGTTGCTTATCTCTTGAGCTTTTCGAAATTCTAGAGATTGAAAATAATTATTAGTTGCCGAAATTGCTGAAGATATACAATCATGCCCAATTTTCAGTTATTAGAAATAGTTGATTATTTTGAATTTTAAAAAATAAGAGGGAAGTGTTATTTGTAGGAAAGTGATATATCTGTCAGCTAGGTTTTGATTTTTAATTTAATAAATTTGTTAGAAAATATTTGATTTGCACAAAATCATCCATCAGAGTGGCAATTTTGCTTACCACATTATTCTTCTTCTGAGAGTATACATATCCGCAGTTTTTCTGAAGTTCTCATATATATGTTTTGATCTGGAGACTGTAGTGGTAAGTATGATATTTCTAAAAATTGTTTTTAGATTAAAATATGATGATGATGATATCTGATGCTATATATACCCTATAATTTTCATGTTAAAGCTTTGTTCAATCGTGCCCATTCTCCCAAAAATTGCAAAGGTTTGTGGTTAACTTGTTTTATTTACATAAAGTGTTGCATTTTTGATAATTTTAATATTCCCGCTCTTTACTTTGTAAAAATAGATGGTCTTTTTCATTTTGGAACATGACATTTTTTAATTTTCAATTTTTACCTAATTTATGCATGTTTGATTATTCCAATAATTCTTTATATTGTGATACATCTATTTTATAGTAAAAGCTCACTAGTGGAAAAATAGGTTTCGCTGACGGCAACATCACTGACGGGACAATGCCGTCAGCGATGTTTACATCGCTGACGGGATTAACCGTCAGAGATGTTGCCGTCACAAGTTTTTCGATACCATCAGCAATGTAAACATCGCTGACGGGACATGAATATCGCTGACGGGTAGCCCGTCAGCGATGCAGGAAGAAGCCCGATCCGACCGTCCACACTTTCTCCAAATCAACGGCTCAAAAACCTCCAACCCCCCTCCCACGGATCCCCTCCCGTCCGTCCATAAATAACCCCCAAAAGCTCCGCCTTCCCCTGTTCGACGCCCCAGCGCCACCACGCCCAACTCCATCTTCCCCACTCCGCCTCGCCAAGGCTTCATCGAACTCCCTCGCCTCACGCCCAACACGCCGTCGTCACCACCACAGTGCCGCCCAACAGCCCCTTCATCACCTCCTCGTCGACGACCACGCCCTCTGAGCTCGCCTTCTCGAGCTTCGTCACCACCCCCTTCGACCTCCTCCACCCACCGCAGTCCAAGCTCCGCCCCCACCCTAGCTCGCTGCCCCAAGCTCCACCATTAAAACTTTTGATTAGGAAGAATTTGAATGAAATTTGGTGAATTTAGACATTTTTGTTCCCTAACTGTAGTGTAATCCACAATTAAAACTTTTGATCGTAAGGTTTAGTAACTGGGTTAAATTAATTGGTAACTGTTGATTGCCTATGAAGAGGATGAAATTTTGCATCTTTGGTAACTGTAGTGTATGGATGTAATGCAAGGATTGTTAACTGTTGATTGCCTATGGATGAAATTAATTGGTAACTGTTGATTGCCTATGAAGAGGATGAACTTTTGATCAAAGGTTTACTATCCACAAATGAAGGCGTCTTTGGTAACTGTAGTGTATGGATGTAGTGCAAGAATTGTATACAGGAAATTTTGCATGAAATCAGCATAATTTTTTTGGTGATTATATAACATCCCTGACGGGCATGCCGTCAGCGATAAACAACCCTGACGGCATGCCGTCAGGGATGTTATACACATCCCCGACGGGCATGCCGTCAGGGATATTTCAACATCCCTGACGGCTCCTGTCGTCAGGGAAGATGCCATCATTAATGCTTATTACTGACGGCGGCCCGTCAGGGATGTTTCTTCCCTGACGGGACTTTTTCTAACGGCGTATCCTTGATGGTAAGCCGTCAAGGATACCTATCCTTGACGGGAAATTTGGCATCCTTGATGGGAAAGCCCGTCAAGGATGCCCATTTTTCTACTAGTGTGCCTTAAAACTTACAACAAGCTAAGAAGCGCATGGACTCAAAGATCGACAAGAAATTTAGGTAATTTTTGAAAGTGGGCAAATGCTCGCACAAACTTAAAAGACGGCAATGCATTTAAGTAATTCTAGAACTGCATATATGAGAAATTTCCAGGTTATGCAAACTCTTAATTGATGCTATATTAACTTGCAACATCCTTATGCTATATCGAGTCCATGTAATTTATCTGAAAAATAGAATGTACAAGGTCATGCACCAAGCTCTGCATTTGATATAGTTTCCAAATTAGCTCATCATGAAATACATAATAAGTCTGTTCTACGAAAAGAAGGTTAGACCGTTATAGAGCAGATACTACACATTTCAGATTGAAGTGAGTCCTACATATATTGAAAAATAGCACTCCAGACCGATGCCTGATTTTAAGAAATCAAAGCATTTTACATGTAAGCTTGTCAGCTTCTCAAAAACACTATAGATAACATGTCAGATCTCATGATCATTTTTTTCCTTTTCAAAATAGGACATATTAATATATACTTACACATAAGAAAGATTCTATATCAAGACTTGTTAGTCTAAAGTGTAGACCCAAAGTTGAAGCCAAGTTGGAATCAAAACGATGAAGAAAAACAGCCAGACAGATCCACAGTCGACCGCGAGTCTGTGGCGGTCGACCACGAACGTGCACTGGAACTCAGGAGGAGCTGGATCCGAAGGCGGTCGACCGCGCCAACCCTGTAGGATTTTTGGTCTCGGGTTTTTGATACGGTCGATCGCGATTGGTGTGCGGTCGACCGCGATCCCTGCGCGGTCGCCCGCCACGGTCGACCGCGACGCAATCTGACAGTTTCCTAAACTGTTTTGGATTCCGTTTCTTTCAGGATTCTATATATATATATATATATACCTAAACGTTTTAGGGTTTGTAGAACATGAAAAAGAGAGCTTTTGACGGCAGAAAAAGAGAGAGAATCTTAGAGAGATAAAACCCTAGTTTGAGAGCTTGTATTTCTTCAATCAATAAAGGAATTGTGTGGTGTGGCTCCCGAGGACGTAGGCATGTTGTCGAACCTCGTTAAATCTGTGTGTTCGTCTCCTTTATTATTCTTGTAAGTTTTGATCTTTATTTGTGATAAATTTTCCTACTTTCCTACTTTCAACATAAGGTCCAGAAGGGCAAGGGTTCGATTTGATTGTTTCGAATCCCCAACAACTGGTATCAGAGCTTCGTTTAGAAATTTGTGTGAAAGCCATGGCAGAGGAAATCAAATCAAAGATCGAGAAGTTTGACGGCTCAGACTTCGC